AAAAAAAAATCTTTAAAGTCTACTGCAACATCAGGCATTACTACCAGCTACCTAATCCCGTGCCAGGCAGCGTGGAATAAAAGGTAACTAAGCCTGCATGCTTATCTGAAATCAGCTCACAATGTGGCTGGGAGGCAAGGCTCTATGTGTGGTACAAATACACTCGTTTAGATCTCCACATATGTATTGCTGATAACATAGAACACTCTGTCTAGGAAGTTGATTCTATGATTATTTCCATTGTACTTATGAGGTAATGAGACGCAATGGTACCACATACCGTTTGAAGGTCCCATGCATAGCTGCAGGAAAACGGCAAACCCAAAATATGAAACCTATGAAGTCTAAGTTCAGACTCCAAACTTCACCTTGACACCATGCCGTGTCCTTTTATTGGTATTAAATATTTAGTACAGGCAATAAATGAAGCGGACTTCGTTATGGAAGAGATCAATATGATAATCCTCTTAAAGACCCTATGTATCGTTCCCTCAGAGCCCTACTTTTAGCTTTGTGATGAGCTACACTAATAGCCTAACCATAAAAACTAAGCCTTCTTAATGTGCTCTCCTTCTGAAAGTTCTCAAAATCTGTCAGCTTAGTTAAAGTGTGGAGCTTTTGATGAAGGCTTTTATGGGATGCTCAGACCTGAGCTTCTGATGCTGGTGGAGAGGGGGTCTTCAGGAAATGGCCAAGCATGTCCCATAGATACCAGAGCTCTGCTCACACGTGCGGCTAATTCTGCCCATGAATACCATCTTTACTCGTATATTTTATATTTATATTTTAATTATTTTATGTTTTTAAAGATTTTAAAGATTTTATCTATTTATTTGACAGAGAGAGACACAGCGAGAGAGGGAACACAAGCAGGGGGAGTGGGAGAGGGAGAAGCAGGCTTCCCGCTGAGCAGGGAGCCCGATGCGGGGCTTAATCCCAGGATCCTGGGATCATGACCTGAGTTGAAGGCAGACGCTTAATGACTGAGCCACCCAGGCAGCCCTACTCATATATTTTATTAGGACTGCTTCATTGTGCCCTCTTGCTTAAAAGTACTGAACTGTAGCCTCGTTCCTTTGAAACAATATTGGTCCCAGAATAGAATTGAATAGTATTTCTGGCTCTTGGGGGAGTCAAAAGTGTATGTCAGATTATAAAGAACAATTTGATCACACCAACGTAGCACAATCAAAAAAAAAAAAAAAAAAGAGGTCTTAGTGAGAAAGCTGATCTGGAACAGAATACTTAAGAGCCAGCCCATATTCCTTCTTCAAATATCTGGGAGAACTCACTGGTTCCTGAAACTCACTGGTTCACCTATGTCTTTTGATTCCTCCTTCCTAAACTAATAAAATCTTGATGTGACTATTCCTAACTCTAACTCTGCTAACGACTATCTTGTGTTCATTTTGGCTCTGTCTCCCCACACGGCCCCATGAAACATAGAAGCCATATTCTAAGGGCTTGGAAGAGCAATACTAAAACTCCAGAGATCTCTTGCTATCAGAAAATGGGGTATTTTTCCCTGAATGGCTTTTTTTTTTTTCATGAATTTTCTTCCTGAGTTTTCATTTAATGTTAAGTGTTGACGAGTGGTCTATTCAATCAGGCTCCAAGCACACTTTACTGAACACTAATCCTGTGCAGCGGAACTTGGTGTTCGAGTGACCCCTTACTGATGGCCATTTACCAGTAGAGATTTTAGAGATCTCTTGGAGATCTGTGCCTTTGGCAGAGTGCTCCCTCGGAACCAGGCATCCCAGTGGGAGGACTCCCAATCAAACGATTTCAGAGCACTTTCTTTGGTGAGTTTCTAAAAGATGGAGAACAAGTGGACATTGAACAGTTAGCCAGGGATGTGGTCAGGGAACCCATGGCGGCCAGCAGAAGCCAGACACCCTGCAGCTGCAGCCACGTGATGCGTGCTGAGTTTCAGATGTTTGTGCTCCATTAAGAACAAGCTTTGGACTAAGACAAGCCTTTTAAGGATCTCACGAGGAACCCGAGATCAGCCCCAGGATGACCTAAATGCCAGTGTTTTCTGGAAGTTCTAAACACAGTGAGATGCAGAAGGATCATCACACATTTGTCAGAATTGGCCTCCCCTATTAGGCTATAAGTCCGTGTCTTGTTGATCACTCTTTGCCCTGTGTCTAGTCCAGGCTCTGGCATATGGTAGCCATTCAGCAAGCTGGACTTATTTCAGGCGGTGTATGTCTTTAGGGACCAAGCTATAGGATCTGACCTGGCGAGGCATCCTCAGGATCCAGCCATTGCCCTGTAATATACAC